ATTTCTCTTGTGTCTGGTGAGAGGAGCCGCCTTCTTCAGGGTGTGCCTATAGGTGTGTCACCTTCAAGGGGCTTGAAAGCTGAACCAAGGGCCTATTAACTGGGGGCAGGATCTGTGTCAAGTGCTTAAGAGATTAGGAATTACCTTCTCTACCCCCTCATTTCACAAGGGAAATGGGGCTCTTTATATTCCCACTTTATAAGTGGTAGAACTAATACATGAAGAAGAGGATCTGTTTAATAGTCACAGCATGTCAGCACCAGAGCTGGAAGTTTCTTCTTTGAATTTGGGAGTGGAACCCAGGACACCAGATTTCCCCTGTTCTGATGTTGACTTTTTTGGTGGTGTTTCCTCATTTCCAGCCCAGCTGGAACACAAGCCCGGGGGATAGCAAAGGCTTTTGAATGATGTGAGGCAGTGCCTCTGGGCATCCTGCTGATCAGTGTGACATTAGTGCCAAGTATTGCTGTTGTTATTCTTCTGTTGTTGCCACCATGGAATGAGGTGCAGTTGCTTGACATCACTCAGCTTTCTGACAAGGCACAGGGTTAAGTAGGAGAGCTTGTCACCCAGGACCCAGTGAGAGGCTAGCCCTGAGCAGACTCATGAAGCTTGGTTTCTAGAGTAGAGGTGCAGAGTGCTCAGAGAGTGCCAAAGATCATGGGGTGGGGTAGAGAACAAAGGAGAGATGGCCAAGGAGCTGGTCACCTTCCAGACAGGCTGCCAGACTGCAGTGGAGAGGCTGCTGCTGTTGGGCAGGAAGCGGAGAGTTCAGCCACTCAGGCACAGTTGGGCCAGCAGTGTGGGCAGAGAAGGTGTCCACATCTGTGATGAGATCTGACAGATTCCAAGAGGCCCATTTGTCCCAGCAAATCTCCCTCTCCATTCTGCTATGGTTCACAGATTCCAACCAGCAGGCTTACATCCCTCGGTGGAGGCAGTGTTTCCAGGTGGCTGCTGTTAGCCTGGGAGAGGCTCTGCTCATAACGCTACAGTGAACATAGCATTTTCTTGTGTACAAAGTGCTATCACATGCATGATCTCCTTTGAGCTTTAGAGCAACGCTGTGAAGTGGGCGAGGGTAGTGTCATTATCCCCAATTAACAGATGAGACAATTGAGGCTCAGAAGCTTGCCTAATCCCTGTGAAGGAGCCAAGGAAAGCATCATTATCCCATTTTACAGATGGTGCAACTGGAGTGCTGAGACTTATCCAAGACTTAAAAAGTGGCAGAGCCAGGAGAAGAACTTGAGCCTTCTGCCTCCATGGCCAGTGATTTGTTTGTTGCATCTGGTGTTTTCAATTAGTCAGCTGTGTTGCCCAGTAGATAGAAGAGGAATAGGGGTCTTTTGATGGTGAAGGATGCAAAGAAGTTCAGGGGACTCAGGTATCCTGAATGGCCTGGCTGGTTCAGCTTGAGGGCAGAGGGATGGAGGAATGCCTAGAGGGGAGGGGGGCTGAGGACAAATATTGCCCATCTCCCAGTTGGGCCTTGGGTATACTCTGATGACGGCTCTGAGGGAGGAAGCCTTAGTTCTGCCAAGGCACAGGACGTTCACATTATCTGGGCTGCAGAGTGAGTCATTTTCCCTAGGCTGTTTTTACTGTTAGGACTGAGTTAAGATTACCAGGAAAAACCTGTTGGGAGAAAGAAAACCTCATGTCAAGCTCCTAGGGCCATTCCCTTAGGATTCTGGATGGGAAGTCCTCAGCTCCAGTGGAAGGTGTTTTGAGAAGAGAAGGGGGAGAAAGGGAGGGAGGGAGGGAGGAGGAGGCAGGGAGAGAGGGATGGAGAGGAAAGGAGAAACAGAGGGAGAGAACTGAGAAAGATTGGATATCCTTGGATCACTGGATGGAAGGCAAGGAGACCGGCTCTTTTCTACTCCCTAATTTCTGTTTAGGAGTGAACATTAGGGGAGGGGTGTGTGTGAGAACCCCAGAGGAGGGATAAAGCCTCCTGAGCTGTACACTGACCTCATTTAGAAAATTGTAATGAGCCCATTTCCTTTGTGACAAACCTCTGTGAATGTGTGTCATGGGAGCAGGGTCTGCCCTGGAAACCAGTCCAGATGGCCAAGGACAAATGGGAAATGCCTGGCTGGGAAGAACTTCTCCAAGTGGTGGAGTTTGGCCCCTAAGAGATTTAAAAATGCACCCAAGTAGCATTAGGGGCTTCCCTAGAGGCTCAGTGGTAAAGAATCCACCTGCCAATGCAGGAGATGTGGGTTTGATCCCTGGGTTGGGAAGACCCCCTGAAGAAAGAAATGGCAACCCACTGCAGTATTCTTGCTTGGGAAATCCCCATGAACAGAGGAGTCTGGTGGGCTACAGTCCATAAGTGACTAACACTTTCAGAAGGATTTGGGTGCCCAAGGGCCTCAGAGCAAGAGGAATTAGAAGGAAGATGGACTCTGAGCCTGGCCAGTTCAGCACAGATCAGAAAAGTCCAACACTGAGGCCCTGGGCTTGAAAGACGCCCTCCTGGCCCACTGTGGGGCGGGGTGTGTGTTGTTATTTGGAGGTAGGTGAGGCTGAGTCGGTTCAGTACCTGCCTGTCATCTGTATCTTTTCGCCTCCTGTTTCTTCCAACCCAAGCATCTTGGGGGCAGGGAACTTGACACCCTCAAAGGAGGGATCTTGTCACAGTACTCGGGAGGGTACTCATGTCACAGTACTCATGTGCTCGTCACACAGGAGGTTTTCAATAAATGATTCTGTTAGTCGCTCAGTTGTGCCCAACTCTTTGTGACCCCATGGACTGCAGCCCATCAGGCCCTCGGTCCATGGGATTTTCCAGGCAAGAATACTGGAGTGGTTTGCCACTTCCTTCTCCTTCAATTAATGATTGTTCAATAAATATAGGAGTGAATGCAGAGTTAGCTTTCTGGTACAGTGATCCAAGAATTTAGTTACACTTTTTAGAAAGCCCCTCTGAGTCTGAGTCCCATTGCCATCNGAATACTGGAGTGGTTTGCCACTTCCTTCTCCTTCAATTAATGATTGTTCAATAAATACAGGAGTGAATGCAGAGTTAGCTTTCTGGTACAGTGATCCAAGAATTTAGTTACACTTTTTAGAAAGCCCCTCTGAGTCTGAGTCCCATTGCCATCTTGTGTACTGGGCTCCTCCATCTGGCTGGTGAAAGACAATATGGGGACAGCAACCATGTCACCTTTACTCACCACTGCACTCCCAGAGCCTAGCACAGTACCTGGCACATAACAGGTGCTCAACAAATATGTGTTGAAAGACTGAATGAACAAAAGAACGAATCTAATTCAGGGTATGAATCTAATACCCTGGAGTCAGGATATTATAGTTGTGCTCTTAATAGCTGGAGGGATTTTGAACTCCTCTTTGTAACTCATCTGGCCCCACCCACCTAGTAGGGTAAAACCACACAAATACACCCGCTTATATGAAACTCAATGTGCAGGAATTCGAGGTTATTACTTATAAGTCATCCTCTGAAGTCTGCTGTCACCTCAGCTCTCCTGACGTCCTTGTCAGGCTCTCACACTAGCTGTCTTAGCCCTTATTTCTCGTGCTGTGTGTGCAGGAAGTCAGTGAACACCATTATCTTGTTATTTACCATTGCATTTGGAACCATAGTCTCTGTGGGTTTTGGGTTTTACTTATCTCACTATCATAGATCCACTTGTTCATCTCTAAAAAAGGCAGCATCTTCCAGAATGACGGGGGAATCGTCTGAATGGTGACAGCACTGTCTGTTACCCCCCCCAACAAAATAGGGTGGTGGCAGAGGGCTCCAGCCCTGGCTTGGGGGCAAGCTGGCTCATGACCTTGGGCTGATCTCTTCCTCTCCCTGAGTCTCATTTCTAGGACCCGTTCAGATCTTTAATTCTGTGTCGACACACGGGAGAGGGCTTCCCAGATGCGGTACGATTTTTAAGTGGGTGTATGCTTTTCTGTGAGATTGTAGCTGTTTTTATTTTAAAACTTTTCATTTTAGCTCTTGTTCCAAGTGTAAAAACAACACTAGCAATGAGGAATTAATATTTTGTGACTTATGGGACATATTATTATTATATCAGAATATGGTAGTTTTTTGTTAAATATATTTTTTTAAAGGGTTGGTGGCTTTCTTAAGAGTGATTTTATTATATCTTGGGGTGTGCCTTTTTTCCCAATCACATAAAGAATAGATCTGTGATTTATAAGGCTCTTGCACTACTGAAGCTGGTCATGAAAGTATTCTAAGGTGTTACATCATTACTAAAAGTGAGGCTTTCCGGAACTTCCAGGTTTCCAAGCATATTGCAGGAGAGATCAAACCATAAGGTTCTTTCTGCTGCTGCTGCTGCTAAGTTGCTTCAGTCGTGTCCGACTCTGTGCGACCCCATAGACGGCAGCCCACCAGGCTCCCCTGTCTCTGGGACTCTCCAGGCAAGAACACTGGAGTGGGTTGCCATTTCCTTCTCCAATGCATGAAAGTGAAAAGTGAAAGTGAAGTCGCTCAATCGTGTCCGACTCTTAGTGACCCCATGGACTGCAGCCTACCAGGCTCCTCTGTCCATGGGATATTCCAGGCAAGAGCACTGGAGTGGGGGTACCATTGCCTTCTCCGAAGTTCCTTCTAGAAGTTAGGATAATCTGATACTAGGTATGCCTATGTCCAGCCACATTTTCAGGGGTCTTAGAAAGGAAAAGGCCCTTATGGATACACCAGCCCGACTCTGCTGCCGTTCACACGCGGGATACTGAGGCCCAGACAGGAGAAGTGACCGCCCCAGAGCATTCCCTCCACGTCTGTCCCTTGCTCATTCCACATGCCTCACCTGGTCCAAACCCCAGTGTCCCCCAAGTGAACATTAGTACACAAACCCAACCATTGCTCATGCCTGGGGCAGACACTTTCTCTGTATCATGATACGCTTCCAAGGGCCACGTGATGGAAGGGCTGCTGCTAATTCAGCATTCCAACCAGCTCTGCTTGCCTCGGACAATTTTTTTTTTTCCACCAGCTAGACACTAATATCCAGCAGAGAGTTTATTGGTATAATTTCTTCAGAAAGAGACTGGAAGACTTAGCAAGTTCAAACTTTAACATTTTTTATCAAGAGTCCCAAATGGCCACCCTTCCCTCCACCCCCCATCATCACCAGCAACCCCGATATGGCTTTCTCTACCACAGGCACTCAGGGCCCGCAGAGCAGAAACAGCACAGGCCAGACCAGCAGGCACGGAACACACTGTCAACTCAACTGAGCAAGCAACCGCCTGGGAGCCATCTTTGTTAAGGGCAAAATAAGCCGCTCATGGCACTGGAGGATACAGAAAAGACAGGACTATCTTGATTCTTCTGAAGGAGTGAGGGAGGCTGGATGGGGTAAAAAACATGTTCTCAGAAGACATGCAAAGAAAGACTTCACAAACAACTAAAGGTGACACAAATATCAGCATCTCCCAAACTTCCCTTTTCAAAGATGGCCACCCCCGCTGTCCATTCAGAGGGAGCACGCAGCAGAATCTACTGGGCATGGAGAAAGACAGGCAGCGGGAGAGATTTAGTTTTCCACAAAGATTGTTAGTTTTTTTTTCTTTATTGATGGAATTTAAAGTGCATATAACTGAAGGCAAAGTCCAAGGCCTAGAGAAAGAGATGAGGCCCAAGAGAGAGGCTCAGAGATTCTAAAGGCGGCAGAAGGATACCCACCTAAAAAGGCCACTTGAGCTGCAAAAAGGATGGAGTGGGGAGACAGAAAATGGGGAAAAGAGAAGGGGAATAGGGGTGGGGTGGGGGTGGGGGAAGCATTTGGGAGGAAGAAGACAAATACCAGTTCAGAAATTCAGACAAAGGTGAGCAGGAGCTAGTCTATATCCCAGGTAAGAAAATGTGGGCTGACCCTAAGGTAGGAACATTAGTTTCAGGAAAGGGAGAAACAGGAAGAGCAATGGCTTCTGGCCAGGACACAGCACCCCAGGGGCCCTTCACTTGATGGCAGTAGTGGTGGGGCTTCTCCAAGCCTGTCATGGTCTTCCTTGGAGACCCCACAAAGGTCTAGGGAGATGCCCTCCAGCCAGGAGAAGGCAGGAGCTGAGAACCTCAATTTGGGGCCTCCCAGAGCTCCCCAGTGGATGGCAAGTTCCCTTTGCTACTGAACGGTGGACAGGGCCCCACTCACCCACACAGGCCGTGCCGTCCTCATTGGGCTCATAGCCCCGGCTGCATCTCTTGTTGGTCCGGCACCTGTAGCTTCCATACGTGTTGACACACACGGGCTTGTCTCGAGGGCACACGAATGGGAACTGGATGCATTCGTTGGTGTCTGAAAGGCGAGGGGAGCCGCTCACTGGGGGCTGGGGGCAGTGGGTCCTTGCTGAGGTTCTGCTTCCCCACTCCTGCCATGACCTTGGGCATGTCCCTTCTCCCTGGGCCTCAACTTGCTCAGTCTTCTTGGCTGGCTCCTCCTATACTTGACCTTTACACCTTGAGGGCACTCATGTTGTCCTGGGTCTTCTTTTCTATCTCCCACAATTTCTCACATATGGATGATTCCAGGCCTCCTATCTTGAGCTATGACCTCTCCTTGGGGCTCCAGACTCATGAATGTCTACCATGCATCTCAGACTTACTAGGCTGGAATGGAACTCTAGATCCCCTGGCCTTTGAGCCTCTTCTGTCCCCTGTTCCCATCCTCCCCAGCTCAATCAAGGCCACAATCAGTCTCTCGGCTGCTCAAGCAGACATCAGAGAGATTCCTGATTCTTCCAGTTTCCTTAATTTGCAGGCGATTTAACAACAGATCCTGTCAATTCTGGCCCATCGTACCTCTCCCATCTGACCACCTCCCTCTCACTCCTCTGCCACCAGCCTGTCCCCAGCCACCAGCAGCTCTTGCCTGGATTTCTGCAGCTGCATTCTCCCCTTCCCCCTCCCCCTCACCACACCCCTACCCACTCCCCAGGCCTCCCAGCTTCCCCACTTCCTCCAATCCTATCTGCAATTCAGCAGCCAGGTGATTGCTAAAAATATGAACCATACCATGCCACACTCTTGCTTAACTGCAAAGGGCCCTGAGAACAAAGTCCAGACTCCCTCCTGGGGACTCCAGATCCTCCCTGATGTGGCATCTGGCTCATCCATCCTCTCCCAGCACTCCGGCCTCCTTCCTGTCCATTTCACACACTAAGTCTTTCTCCTGCCGCATGGTCTTTGCTCCCGCTCTCCCCTCTGCTGGGCAAGCTCCTCCCTCCACTCTTTCTATGGCTGGACCCTTCCTGACCTTCAGGTATCAGCTCAAAGGTCCTCTCCCTGACCACATCTTCTAGAAGAGTCTTCAGAGAGCACCTTGCTTAAACGGCTCTTAACTCATCTTGTCCAGCTCTTATGCCACACTCTTGCTTAACTGCAAAGGGCCCTGAGAACAAAGTCCAGACTCCCTCCTGGGGACTCCAGATCCTCCCTGATGTGGCATCTGGCTCGTCCATCCTCTCCCAGCACTTCGGCCTCCTTCCTGTCCATTTCACACAGTAAGTCTTTCTCCTGCCGCATGGTCTTTGCTCCTGCTCTCCCCTCTGCTGGGCAAGCTCCTCCCTCCACTCTTTCTATGGCTGGACCCTTCCTGACCTTCAGGTATCAGCTCAAAGGTCCTCTCCCTGCCCATATCTTCTAGAAGAGTCTTCAGAGAGCACCTTGCTTGAACGGCTCTTAACTCATCTTGTCCAGCTCTTGGGTCACGTGGTTTGTGGTCGGTCTGCCCGACTAGAATGAACACCCCTCCAGGGCAGATGCCTGACCTGCACCCCCAGCTCCCCACATAAGGTGCTGGGCAGGAGGCACCCAAATGTCTTCTGGGTGATGAAATGAAGAGGCGGCTGCACTGCAGAGGTCACAGGGTCTTCCCAGCACATGGGGAAGATGCTGGAATTTATGGGTATGTGCACCGTCTGTTTAGAGTGGTCACGGTATGGACATGAGGAGCGGAGGGAACTAATTTCTTCCTCAAGCCACTCTTCCAGGCATCCTCGCCACTTCTCACCTATGGTCCTTTGCCCAGGCAGTACCCTCCATTGGAACACTTTCTCGCCACTGACTGGCAAGCTCCTCATCACCCCTCAGGTCTCAGCTCAGACCTAAACTATCTCTGGGGCACCTTCTTGGACCCTCACTAGACTGGTTTAGCACCCCACCTTTGTGCTCCTATAGCACCCCCTCCGCACAAGCTCTACCCAGGCTGTGTGGTCAACCTGTTTCTCTGTGCGTCCGTCCCACTGGCTCTAAGCTGCAAGAGGGCAGGATTGTCTCGTTCACTCCACATCTCAGAGCAAACCATTCACCTGGGGCTGATGAGTGGCTGCAGAGGGGCCTTGGGAAGAATGCTCAGGCATCTAAGGGCAGGTGGAGTCCTTGGCCTGACTCCTCACTGCTGGTCCTTAGGATGGAAGACATGGGGTTGCAAGTTTTCTCGGTGCTGAGCCTCTAGGCTACCCTTGCCCATTCCAGGCCTTTGGGAGGTTTTAGGAGGTCCCCGGACCCTCACAGAGCTGCCTCACAGAGTGTGGCTGTGCTGCAGTTACCTGCCCCCCAGTACTGCAAAAGGCCACAATCTCCCTTCTGAGCTGTGACCACATGCCACATCCTGGTTTGCTCCATGCCCCCTGGCTAGCCATGCCCACTCTTGCCTGCCAGCCCCTTTGCTGGCTGCTGTGCTGGATGGAGGATGCATGCCCACCCACTGTGGCTTCCAGGAGCCAGGCCTCCCTGTGTGCTCTGCCTAGGCAGTTGTGTCTCCTCCTGGTGATTGTTCTCTCTGTATTCACGGCAGGGAAGTGCTGCCAATTCCCAGAGCTGTAGTGATTCAGCCTGCAGGCTGCTACCATCATTCCCACCTTGCCGAGTCACCTGGCGGTTGTCTTGGCATCTAAAGCCCCAGAGACAAACAACACATTCCCCTTCTCACCGCTCCCACCGCCCCTTGTCTGCAACCTGAGTCTTCCAGGGCCCAGGCTGACCCTCCCCAGCGAGATTCTGGCCTCTGGTACCTGCAGGCAACTCACCCGCACAATGGCCATTTTCCTGCTGGGAGAATCCTTGGCCGCACTGCAAGATGGGCAAAAGCAGAGACACTAGTGAGTTGAGAAGATCCCATCTCAGGTCCCCTCCCAGTCACAGCCATAGAGCAGCTGTCACCCTGACCCCACAATAAAGGACTGCTGGCAGCTCTGAATCAGGGAGAGCCCCTCCTGCCAGGATTCCCTTGCACTGATGAAGGGAGACCCAGCGGGAAGGCCAAGAACAGCCTGAACAAACTCCTGCTCATTTCCCTCACGTGGGATCCATAGGCCTGCCCCGTGACCCCCAACAGAGTCTGTCCCTCCTATGGCATCCCCTGAGGCAAGCTGGGTCTCAGAAAGGCAAAGTGTAAAGAGGGCTGGACAAGGTCACTCCCCACACCCCTTTCTCTGAGAGCCTTCCCCACTCCTGGGGCTGGGGTGCCTGCGAGCCAGGCCATCAGCCCACCTTGGGGCAGGGCTGGCTGGATAAGAGGTGGACATCTCATCCGGAGGACTGACTCAAAGGCGTTGCAGCTGGAATTTGATCTAAGTGAGGCGAAGACAGAGGAGCCTGGTCACTCTAGGCTGTGGGGGCTTCGCTAGGTCTCTGTGGAGGTCTCAGCAGCCTGGTGGCTGGGGGCGGTGGTTGGGACTCAGAACACTTTACACAAGACAGAAAATGTTGACTGTTGGAACTGATGAATGATGGCTGCTGGTGAGGATTACTGAGGATAATGCTCCCCCCAGAGCCAGTGCACTAAAGACAGAGGTCCATGAGCTCCTGGGGCCACCAAACTGCCATGGCTCTAGCTCATCCCGACTGTCCCTTGCTTTTCGTGAGCTCCCCTGGAACCTCCCTCTAAGTCCCCTTGTCTGTGTGAGTTTAAGTGGCTCCTATTATCTGCAATGGCGTGATCCTCTCTGGACAGGGGCCCAGAGCTCTTCCTAGGAGTCTGCAGAGGCAACCAGGAGGCTGTGTCAGAGCCTTGGAAAGAATCAGAGATGAAGCAGGAGACCTGGGGCCAGTCCTTAACTCTGCTCACAAATGGCTGTGCAGTTTTGGTGGGTTCTCTTTCTTGGTCTCAGTTTACCTTCTCTGTAAAATGGGTGAAAAACGCTTGCCCCTCCAACACATTTCCAAAGAAATCCTCTAGGATGTCTTTGAGGAGTAGAAGAGCTGTGGGTGTGATAGTGGTGTGGAAACTACAAATGGAGGAGTCACTATGAAGCCTGCCCTTTGCTAAGAAGATTTCCATCATTCTAGAAACAAAGTCTGCAATTCCTAGGAATCCAGCTTCAGCCCGCAGGGTTGTGGGAGGGGCCTGCTTGTTTGGCTCTGAGGTCCAGATGCCTCCGCTCACCTCCAGGCTGGCTGGGTTCTGAGGTCTGTCATCATCCCGGGGATAGGGAATCTCCAGCACCGAGTTCATCTCTGAGCTGGCCACGTTCCTGCTGGCCATCTTGCCATCTGGCCATGTCACCTCCACGCTGCTGGCTTCATCCTTCCCTGTGGGAAGAAAGGAGAAATGATCAGCCGCAGAGGAGAGTGCGGGGTGGGGAGGGATTCTCTGCAAGGGTGTCATCATTCATTCGTTCACCTGATAAAAATCATGAACTGAACACTGTTCTAAGTGCGGGGGAAATAGTGAACAAAGCCGACGAGATCCTGCTCCTTTAGGACAACGCCATCCAAGAGAACTTGCGCAGTAATGGTGATGTTCTCTACCTATCCGTCAGCCATGGTAGCAGCTTGCCATCGGTGGATGCTGAGCTCTGGTGTGGCACTGGCATGATAAGGGACTGGATTTTAAATTCTATTTAAAATAGAATTATTTAACCACTAACCTAGTGGCTACCATATCAGACAGTGCAGTTCTAGAACTTACATTCTAGTGGCTAGGCCAATGGGCAGGAGGCTGTTTTGGGGGAGAGGGTTAAACCTGGTGGTAAACAGGTTGACTTTGGAGTCCTGGGTTCAAATCTTGGCTGTACCATTTACCTAGCATGTTGGGAAAGAAAGAGTTGGGGTGGGGCATCTGGGAGACCTGGGGACAATGATCAGCTTTACAGCTGATTTGCTTTTTAATATTGGGTATATTCCATTGATTTGTATTTATACTGACAGTTAAAGTCTGCAAGGGGCTGTCACTGGGAAAGTCTCTGTTTTCAGGGAGCTTCCACTCTAGTGGGGATAGACAGGCACACAGATGAACCAATAAACAATGCCAGATATTGACAAGCTCTGTGAAGAAAACAAAAATAGGGTGATGAGATAAAGAGGAAGTAAGAGTTACTGGGGGCATTTTTCCATCAAGGTGATGAGGGACAGGTTCTTGGGGATAAGGTATTTGAGTTGAGCTCCATATAAAAGCTGAGGTGACAAAGGGCACAGGAGAAAGACCAATTTGAGAAGCAACAGTGAGAACCGGACATGGAACAACTGACTGGTTAGAAATTGGAAAAGGAATATGGCAATGCTGTATATTGTTACCCTGTTTATCTAACTTATATGCAGAGTACCTCATATGAAATGCTGGGCTGGATGAATCACAGGCTGGAATCAAGATTGCCGGGAGAAATATCAATAACCTCAAATATGCAGATGATGTCACTCTAATGGCAGAAAGTGAAGAGTAAATAAAGAGTCTCTTGATGAGGGTAAAAGAGGAGAGTGAAAAAATTGGCTTAAACCCCAACATTCAGAAAACTAATATCATGGAATCCAGACCCATCACTTCATGGCAAATAGCAGAGGAAAAAGTGGAAGCAGTGACAGATTTTCTCTTTTTGGACTCCAAAATCACTGCGGACAGTGACTGCAGCCATGAAATTAAAAGACACTTGCTCCTTGGAAGAAAAGCTATGACAAACCTAGAAAGTGTATTAAAAAGCAGAGATAGCACTCTGCAGACAAAGGTCTACATAGTAAAAGCTATGGTTTTTCCAGTAGTCATGTCTGGATGTGACAGCTGGACCATAAAGAATGCCAAGCACTGAAGAATTGATGCTTTTGAGTTGTGGTGTTGGAGAAGACTCTTGAGAGTCCCTTGGACTGCAAGGAGATCCAACCAGTCCATCCTAAAGGAAATCAACCCTGAATATTCATTGGAAGGACTGATGCTGAAGCTGAAGTTCCAATTCTTTGGCTACCTGATATGAAGAACCAACTCACTGGGAAAAGACTCTGATGCTGGGAAAGATTGAAGGCAGGAGGAGAAGAGGACGGCAAAGGATGAGATGGATAGATAGCATCATCCATTCAATGGACATGAATTTGAGCCAACTCCAGGAGATAGTGAAGGACAGGGGAGCCTTCCTGTGCTGCAGTCCATGGGGTCACAAAGAATTGGACACAGCTTAGCAACTGAACAACAACAACAAAGCTGAAATGTTTACAGACAATAATGGTGGTGAAACTCAGGGAATATTCACTGTGACTCCATCTGCACACATCCTTAAAGCAACGTGTTACATCACTGGCAGAAAGCAGGTTGGAAAGATTTATCAGGTGTTTAGGTGTCGTCAAAGCTGGCCCTGGCTTCCTGCTTAAAGCAACAGGCCTGTCACTGAGACAAGGTCAGGCTAATGGTGATGGATTGGGGTAGAGAAGAGTGGGAGCTGGGTCTCACCTGCTGGGAAAAGCCTTTCTCCAGTCAGTCACCTGGGAAAGAGGGTAGTGCTCAGTACAGGTGGGAGGGATGCTGCAGCCCCCTCGTTGTCACCCACCAGGGCTGACTAGACGTGGGCTTGGTGCTCGGGGCTCCACAAATTTGCACACTCCCCCAAGCATCAGTCGAGGGCTGAGAAAAAAGTCACCCACATGTGTGTGCTACTTTCTCCTCAATGTGTATAGAGACTGTCACAAAACAAGTGAAACTGAAAAGTGCTGTCGAATTTATAGCAGCTTTTGGTCATTACTGTCCACCAATGGATTTTTTCACAATGATTGCTGCGATGGGGGTGGAGGGCGGTCTGTATAACATTTTTGTGTATGCATGGGGTTCCTGTATTTTCGAAAAGGGAGCAGGGGGAGAAGGGGGTTATGAGAAATGTTTTCTGGCTTAATAGAGCCGACTTTGGAACCGGTAAGCCAAGGGCCTGGAAGGGGAGAGTCTCCATGGGGAGAGAACCTGCACGCCTAGACTTTGGGGGAATCAATACACAGATTCCTGTGTTGGAATCTACCTCCACCTCTGTGTAGAGGTCCCCCTGGGGTCAGAGCTAAGACCGCACAGTGTGGAAGGACCCCGCTGCAGCCTTCTCCCCGAGTACCAGTGCGTCAGTCTGGAGCTTCCAGAGAAAGGTGCATCTAGAGAGCCACACTGTCTACTTTCTGAGCCTCCCTGGGCTTGCTTCTCTTCTGCTCCCTCCAACCCAAGGCCTCCAGAGAAGTCTCTCCTCTGGCCATCATGAATTAATGAGGGCAGGGACCAGCCACCACCCTCTGGAAGTGTCAAAGGTGAGCAGCCCCTGCCCCTGTGCCCGCGATGGGGCAGCAGCACCAGAGAGAGGTGCCCTGAGCAGAGACCCCCCACATGCCACCGAGACCCCCAGACAGGATGCAGCTTCCCTCCGCACGGAGATTCTCCTCTTCCAGGCTGGGGGCTTACTGGTTCTGGGATTGGCTCTATTAAGCCAGAAAACATTTCTCATAACCCCCTCCTTCCCTGCTCCCTCCTACCACAATAATTTATTTTGGGGAAGGGGGTGAAAATAGGATTGGGGGTGTCAACTGCCCACTCTTTTTCTGTTTGGAAGTAGTCTCTTGAGGTTCAAGAGATTTAGCATGTTTAGGGTGTTCAGTACCCAAACTAAGTGGCAGATGTAAAAAGTAAACATTTTTCTATTAAAAAAAAAAGGAGACAAAGAAGAACAAATGTTTCTCGCCTAAGCCAACAGAGCAGCTACATGAATATATTTTCCAGCCTGACAGAAGTGCCGCAAATAACTCAAGAGCTGTCGAATATTCATAGACAATCACAAATTTACATCCTGCATCTGAATCCTGCTTCCTCTCTTCCTCCAGACCCAGGGATCGGCAGGACTAGGAGAGAAGTCAGCCATGGGAAGGGCACATCTCCGCAGGACTCCCTCTTTTGTTACTGATTATTTGGGGGCCTCCATTTCCTCATCTGTAAGATGGGAGCTCTAGCCTATCCAGGAAGGACAGTCTTTCCTTGGATGTGAGTGCTGCCCTAGCCAATTTTGACCCGTAGCATCCCCATCATCTCTTAGACATGGGGGGCACACTGCAGTTCCCAAAGGGCTTCCCCTTGTTGCCAATAATACTACAGAATATGCATTCCAAACTGCACGCTGTGATTCTCAGTGTCAGGGCACTGGATCCTCATGGAAGCTCCCTGAGAAAATACTAGTTTTATAATTTCCATCTTAGAATCAAAGGGGATGAGACTTAGAGAAGTGAAGGGAATTGCTCACAGCTACCCAGAGAGGGAATGTCTGATCCTGAAGCCCAGACCTGATAAACCCTTATTCTACTGCCCACCCCAGCCCCATGACCAAACCACCATGGACCAAGCATCATGCAGGGAGCTGGGGTTCAGCAGGAAGGAGACAGACCTAGGACCCATCCTGGAGGAGCTGAGCCCTGTGGGGGCAATGAACACAGTGATTATGTTAAAATAACTGGGAAAGTGCACATATAGTATCAGTACCACTTGGTGAGAGAGGCGGGTGTTAAAAGTCATTTTGTTGGAGGATACAGGAGGAATAAGAGCTTGGGAGGCACAGAAGGGAAGGGAAGGATGTTCCAGGAAGTGGAAAAGAGATAGAGGCAAAGGTATAGAGATACGAAAAGGACATGTGTGTTGACGATCGGGGAGAAGTTCAAAGTGGGTGAAGCAGAGTGTGAGCTTGGGCGTTAAGTGGGGTGGGTGGGAGAGGAGATGGGGAGGGACTTGGAACTCTCGAAGGTGTGACTGATTGAAGCCTCTCAATTACTCCACAAGGGAATATTTACACCCACTCCCTGGATGTAGACACTGAGGCTTGGCAAGGTGCAGGGAACTGCAGGTGTTTGAGCTCGGACTGGAACCCAGGCTCCTGCTTCCAGGCCTGGCCGTTCCCTCTGCCCCAGAAATTTCAAGTCTTCCTGCAGTTGCACAAGCCAGGGGGCCCGGCCACCAGACACTACACAAGGGCAGCCTTTAAGTTGGCCAGACTGCTGGGCCTGTGTGTCTGGGAGCAGAGGAGGCCCCATTAAGAGCAGCAGGGAGTCGCCTCTGGCAGCTTTTAGAGGACAAAGGCCAAAGAGGCACAGAGAATTGCGCTTTTCAGAAGAATCACAAGCAAAACAGATGGTGGGAATACAGTTGGTGGAATATTTTTGCACTTTATTAAAGCGATTTTTATGTGGGCCACTGAATTTTCCTTTCCTAAAAGAGCACCAGCCGACTGGGAGGCAGCTCTGAGTCACTTGCGAACAATCAGCAGAAGGAAGGAGGGGTGTATGTGTAGGGGATGGGGGTGCCGTCAAAGCCTGTGGTG